ATATTGAGTATTGACTACGTACTACTGATACACTGGGTCCTGTTGGGTCCCTGGGTGAATGAAATTCAGCAGCTAGTCACTAACTCAAATATGATTACCTTGAGATTAGAGACTAATTGCTTGGGGTTCGTGAAGACAGCCCACAATAAAGGCAGGAAGACTTGAGAAGTTGCACTGTGGGTTTCTACAAAAGAGAGCGATGAGAGCACACACGTTTCCAACAAGTCATTCTCAACAGCTACAAGCTGCACACAAAGACCACACACCGCGCCAAAGACATGTTAATGTAATCCCAAAGTTCTCACTTCTCTCCCGAACAAAACCTGCTCTGCAAAATACCTAATAGAAGATAGTTTCTGATGCTGGTAAGATTTCACTTAAAGGCTCTAAAATTGCTTTTCTAGGGCCTGCCTGGTGCCCTTAAACTGTATCTTTCTCTGGCTTCAAGGGAAAGGCCTACTGCGTGCTTGGAAACGAGACGGACGTGAGTTTAGTGCCTAATTTTTTTGAACATCACATTTTTTATACGATAATACTGGCTGAATATGCTTTTGGATTTTAAATACAAAGTTGTAGAAAATCAGTTAATGTTCTTCTATTTGTATTAACATTAGCCCCCATTAAGCAAAAAGCACTGCTGAGCCCCAGTTCTCTGAGTATTTTGCAGAATTTGTGCTAAAATGGGACTTATGCAAAAGTTATATAAACAACTTGTGGTCCAGTTGTGGACTAAGGCTTCTAACTGTACTATATGAGCCGCATGTACTTTGGCCACCGATGCATACGGTAAGTATCAGAAAAAAATAGAGAATATTAAAAAATACAAAACAAAAAAACCCCAAAACATAATGGTCACCTCGGGCGTCAAATAAAGCTGGGTGACTTTGAAAAACAGTAGTATGTGAATAGTTGAGTACATTCCGGTCTAGAAATAAAGAAGTTTCCATATAATTAATAAAATTTCAGGAATTAAAAGTGCAGCAGGACCGGAAAAGTCAGATAGGCAAATGGAAGGAAAAATTACTTTGGTTGGATCATGTGGAGTAAAGATCAATTATCTCAAGACAACGGATAAACATCCAGAGAAGTTTTATTAAAGTGTATGCTTTAAATCCTCACTTATTTCAGGCAGCATCAGAAATGAAAGCCAGTAGAAGCCAAGAAGCTGGAGGATTAAAAAAAAAAGCTTTAAAGATAAATTATTTTCATTATGTATCCTGTCTGAAAGGCTCTAAAATTATAGCTTTATGACACATGACAGCGCTGATTTGAAAACAACTTACCCTGGTCAAGCCATAACCGAAAATCGCCCATCATTAACCCCGTCGCTTAGCTACCACATTGTTTACTGTTTAAGACCTATATCTCTGTTAGGTGGCAGGAGAATAGTCTCTAATGATTATTATACCTTTTATTTACCGAACCCTACAACTAAAGGGAAATAAATTACAGCTTGAGTTCTTTATTTTGAAAATAAAGATATCTCCAAGTGTCAAACATCCCACAGGGTTAAAAAAAAAAAATCTACAGTCTAATATTTAACATATATAAATATCTGTGTGGAGGCAGGTTTGTTTTTAATGCCCGACACAAACAGCCTGTTTCCTTTCAATTCCCGGATTGATTATTGATGAACCATCTGATAGCCCCGCGCCAACAGTTCACCTCACGACTCTTTTGAGAAGAATACGGCGCTGTTTGGCGAGGGATTTCATCGATAAGCTGCCCTTTGAGCAGCGTTTGTGTTTGATGTTGGGAGTCGAGGTACCTTACCTTTCTGACTCACGCCGAGAGAAAACACACATACAGAAAGAGAAAAGAAAAAAGCACATAAAAGGCTCAGTTTACTCTGCAGGGCATGCTTGTGTGAGTTGCAGCCATGAAACGATAAGCCTGCGAGGTATGTGATTTAGCAGGAGAAAAAACAGGGGCTGGGGGGTGAAATAGGCCCCAGTATTTACTGTCATGTCAGAACTAATGCGGCATTTAGTTATTTTTTTCCACGTTCTGACAAATCTGAACGTATTTTGAAAACTTCTAGTTGCTTGTTCTTTCTTGCATTTTATCTGCAAAAAACTAATAATATTTAATAATAATAATAATAATAAGAATAAGAATAATAAGAATAATAAGAATAATAAGAATAACCCTGCTGTTTTGTTGTCTTTACCTAAATAATTATTTAATTTCACAACAAAGTTTAACTGTTTGGGTTCCATAATTTATTAATAGGACTGTTTTGCTGTAAGTCAAATATCTATATAAGTTACAAAGAAATAAAACGTACAAATACCAGTGAAACGACAACAAACCGGCAATAGCGTCAAAAACTTTGTACAACAAATAGCTAAAATTCAAACCTTTTACTGAAATATACAAGCTAGATCTACGGCTTACATTAAATTCTATTATGAATCAGAGTCATCACATTTGTGTCTGAGAAGGGAAATTTAAGAGCACCCAGCAGTCCTGCAGTCTATCTGCGTCTCTGTTTCGGGTTTAGTTATCCCAACTATGGGGCCTATTTGACTGCTGATTCTTCCTTTGTGTCAATATAATTTACATAAATAAATCCCAAGACTTTTACATCCGCAGTTTGTGAACAAGTGATTCTTCCACAAGAGTCACACTTCCTTTCGAAATGGGGAGGAGAAAAAATTCAAGAAGAGCTGCGTCGGTTTCACTCGGTTCTTGTTCAAGTGCGCACATTTACAGTGAAACTTGCCGAGCATTAACATAAAAATGTCTTTTCTTTTTTAAAATTAGATTTAAATCATAGCCGGCGCCTCTTGTCACCATGTCCTGCCGTATAACAGGGCTGAACACTGCAAGGCCGAGCCGTACTCTGCGGCGGGGGAGTTGAGGTGGGAGAGGCCGGCCACTTGGCTCTGAAGTGAGGGCGGACTGGAGGAGTGCTGCGCCAAGTCTGGAGAGTGACCTGTGCTTCCCACCTGCTGGCTCTGATGCTGGCCGAGGCCGGACGTGTTGTTAGACATAATCATGACATTGCCCCCTTGCTGGTGGTGCGTCTGAGCGGAGGATGTGGGCGTGTGGCCGCTGCCTTGGCACGGCTTCCCATCCTTTACCAGCACCGGCACAGCTACTCTCCGAGGTGACTGCTGCTGCTGTTGTTGGCAGGAGCCGCTCTCCTGCTGCATCTGCTGCTGGGAGGCTTTGTCTTTTGCCTGCCTCTTCATTTTATACCGGTGATTCTGGAACCAGATTTTCACCTGGGTCGGGGTGAGGTGGATCATACTTGCCAGGTGTTCCCTCTCCGGCGCCGACAGGTATTTCTGCTGCTTGAAGCGTCGCTCCAGCTCGTACACCTGCGCCTGGGAGAACAGCACTCGCCTCTTTCTCCTCGGTGTGGTTGACAGAGAGCCCATGCCTTTACCCACGTCTGCCAGGGAACTGAGACTGCCCATGCTGCCCATGTTCATCCCGGATGATGAGCCCATGAAGCGGGAAACTGAGGGGGGAAAATAATTGTAATTAAATTCAATTTTTAAAAAAAGTTATATTCTCGTGTTACATAGAGACATTTATATGGAGAGAAAATTTAGTATGGACAAATATCATTTGCAGATGCAAAAATCAACAATGTTACTCAATTATCAGCTTTTTATAAATCTTCACGGGTCTCAAAGAAGCAGACACCTTTATTTACAACACCTAAAACTCAAAAGTGTCAAAGTGAAAGCGTGTTCATAAACTACATCGACCAAATTTAAGGAGCCGCTCATAAATGACAGCAAAGCTGTTACTGCTGGATGAGTGTGAAAGCCCTGAAGGAAAACTGTTCCATTATTTTTCTGTCGTGAGAATCTTTACAAATGTTGAAATCTGTGGATTAAAAACTTGAATATTTGCGCGATTTCTGCCCCTCCTTACTGGAAACATCTGAAGTACCGAAACTTGAAAAATGCCAATTTTGTGCCGAAAAACGTAAAGATTATAAAAACTGTACTGCAACTCCTAAAACACAGCACCGCGGAACATCCGCAAAAATATGGATTTCAGCTCAATGCGGACTGTGATAACTCCAAGCTGGAGTCAAAGAACAGGTGCAGGATACTCACTGGTGGAAAAACGCGGATCTGGGTTGGCTCCGTACCAGCCGGTTGCCGTGGCGCTGCCCCTCATGCCGTCTTGGTAAGACGGCAGGTCGCCCATGTTGCCCAGGTTGCCGTTACAGTAGCCCCCCATGGCCGTGTGTGACAGCTGAGAAACACCTGCCGCAGTCATGTGGTAAGCCGCAGACACAGTCCCATTATGGCCCATGTGGTGCTGCTGCATCGCCGCCTGTGAGACTTGCGGCTGCCGGTAAGAAGTGAGAGGTGCCCCCAAGTTGTTATTCTCCATACTTACTTTCTTATAGCTCTCCTCAAGGGGACTCAAGATATCGGAAACAGAAAAAGGAGTCGTATGCTTAGGGCTCATCGACATTGTTCTGGGGCTGGAGAGGGAGAAATTAGAAGGCAAGGCAATCTCTCCTTCTGCCTTTTTTTTTTTTTTTTTTTTGGCCAAAGCCCCTCTGCTTCCTGTTGTCTCAACGTCGATCCTGGTAGATGAACACGTAAGAGAGCGCCTCAAGTCCGCCTTAATTGGATTGAGTGGGAGCTCGGTGCTGGCTTTGGTTTGTTTTAGCTGGGTGCCAGGTTTAAGGCTACCATCAGAGGCGGGGCATCGCCAACAATACAAAACAGCTCTAGCCTCCTTTCGTCGAGCGTAATTTCATTTACAAGACATGTGCTCCCCTCCCACTAACAATAACATAAGCACCGTGCATGATCATAAATGTTCATCCCCGAGACTGCAAGCGGTGTCCGAGCACGCTGCAGCTGCTGCATGTGTGGAGTTTGGGACTTGTTGATGTTGCTGATGAACACGTGGCTGCACCTTGAGATTGCAGTGACCACAATACACTTTATTAACTGTAGTGATGTTTACGAGGGCCTCTTGATGAAAGGAGGCCTATATGGACTTGAGAGTTGGAGAACCACTCCTCAGTTGAACTACTGACTTTTAATGGCCATGAGAGGCCTCCAGTGATTGCAGGATTGTTTGTGTTATGCCTTATCGTACTCAGACATGCAAAAGTGCACTTGCGCGGAGGGAAAATGACTGATACTGATAAGTAAATAAATACACATCCGCGTGTTAAGTGGCTGCGTAAATGATTAACCCCCCTCGTTTTTTTTCTTTTTTTCCTTTTGATATCATTGGACGCAAGGAGCGCATTACCTAAATTCAGATGCACACACTCGTCTAAGAGACCCAGTGAAAAAAATTGAGTCTGGAGTAGGAGAGGCGCTCATGCGAAGTTAACGGCGTTCAAATAGCTACTCTCCTGCAGCACAACGCCAGGTAGCCCTCAGTAGCATCTTGCCTTAATGCTCAAGGAGGCATTACC